TCCCCCGTCCCCCCTCCTCGCCCCGTCGGAGGCATTAGGGGGTTTCCGTCTGTTGGAGGAGAAAGGGAGCAGAGGGGCAGCGGGAGACGGGCTCTGCCATTTTTGTTTGCTTTTTAACTATTTCTGCCTAGCGCCGCAGTTCGCTGTCACCGACCGGGGATGGAGGCGCAGGCCGGGGCTGCCCTGCCCGGCGAGACCCCCCTGCCCTCCGCACCCGCTGCTGGCGGGGGCGAGACCCCCCTCCCCCCCCGCCCCCCCCCCCCCACCCCCCACCCCATCCCCGCCCAGGCCAGCCCTCCTCTGCCCGCCGAGGGCTCTTCTCTCTGCAGGCCGAGGAGCCGGGGACACTCGGAGGGCTTAAATAAATGTTGTACAGCGCCATCTAAAGTTCTGCCTTTCTTTCTCCCTCGCCTCTTTTCCATGGGATCCAAACGTAAACTTAAATTTTCCGCACCGAGGAAAATAAACCGCCCTTCGAGGTGCGAGCCGCAACCGCTCGGGGTGGGGGAGGCGGGGGGGAGGGGGAGCGGTCGCCGAGATCCCGGCCCGGAGGGGAACCTGCAGGGTTCGGGGGCCGCATTCAGCCCCCCCCGCCTAGTTCAGTCCCCCTTCTCTTGCTGCTGTCGGGGGGGGCGCAGAGAGGTTGTCCGTCCGTCCCCCCCGCTCCGATCTCCGCTCAGTTCTCTTTCTCCTACACCCGCCGCCTCGCACTCCCCTGGAGCTGTACAGGCGAAAACCGTCATTTCTTCTTAAAAACCGGGTAACGACGCTCCCCGAGAGCGTTCCCCGGGCCGGCCCTGCCCGGCCGAGGGCACAGGGCACCGACCCGCTTTGATTTCCCCGCCCGCGGGACACGGGTGATGCCAAGGCTGGCTTTCGGCTCTGGGCCCCCCCCGCTTCCCCCCGCCCTGCCGACAGACCCCCGGGCCCGCTGCCTACCTGCAGCCGGGGACGGGCTCCCCGGGCGCGGGGGTCGCCCGTAGGGTGGGGGGCTCCGGAGGAGGAGGAGGAGGAGGAGGATGAAGAGGGGTTTCCTCAGCCGCGGGGTGTCCGGCCAAGCTCAGCTGAGCTGGACAAGTCAGGAATAAAGACGACGGGGGAAATATAGGGCAGATTAAGGGGAGCCTAAAGAGGATTATTTAAACAAATCAGGCTTTATAATGTAATTATGCTTTATGATTTCTCGGCGAGAGCAGCTGAGCGGGGCATATGAGGGGGCCAGAGCGGGCTGGCGTGGTCTAGGTTTGCCCTCGCTGGCTCCGTGAGTGACCTCGGGCCCCCATGGGTGCCGGGAGCAGACAGCCCCCCCGGGGGATGCTCTCCGGCCGGCAATCGGGGCGGGGAGGGGGTGTCCCTCCCCCCGGGGCTTAGCACTAGCCCCGCGGTGGGTTGCGAGGAGCCGAGAGGTAAGAGCAGGAGCCGCAACGTCCTCCCCGTCGGAGAGGGACGAGGTGTGCGCGGAGCGGCGGGGCGAGGCGGGGGACACGCACCGGGACCCCCGGCCGGAGAGCTGGGGGCTGGACGGGGTGGATGGGACCGGGGAGCCCAAGCCCCGGGAGGGGGCACCCACAAGCCCTGGGGGAAAAGC